TTGTTGGAATTGATTGAAATTTGGGGGTTTTCAGTTATTGGATTTGTTTAGTTGATTGGAAACTAGTTTTGATGGATTCTGGAGAATTTATTTTGAAATTGAACTTGAATTGCAGGTTTGGCATTTTTCCTATTTATGCCGGCATGCTGCCGAAATTTCTTTAAAAAGTTGATTTTAAACTGAAATTAAATAGGAAACAAATTCCATGAATTTGATTTCAACCTTTAAAGAACCCCCAAACTGATTATAAAAATCGGTTGTGAAACTTGGATTTGAGTCAAGGCACACTAATAGGAAATTAAAAGGATATAATTGAGGTTGAATTACTTAAGGAATGAGATTGGGATCCTAAAGTGTTGTTTTGCATCAGTGCTAGCTGAGGACTCAGATTGAGTGGCTTGAGGAAGCGGAAGCCAGAATAGTGTACCACTAGCCACAGGTTTGATGATTACGATGTAGGATTTCTTACCCTTTTCCTTGTAAGCCTGATTTTTAAAGAGTTTTGGCCTTGCAAATGTTTTAAAGAAAGGGGCTTGTTTGCGAAAGAAAAATATTTGAAAACCATGGCTTGTTGTAGTTCATGGAACCCATGGCTTGTTGTAGTTCATGGGACCCACGGCTTGTTGTAGTTCATGGGAATTATAATAAATGATTTCAGAAAGTTTAATATATGATTTCTTAAGATAAGAGATCTTGCGAACCGGTAAATTGGCTAATGGCCAAGATAGGATGTGGAGAGTGCATCCTTGGGGGCAGAACCCGAAACCCCGGGGGTGATATGACTTGTGCACGTGGATGTGTAAGTAATTTATCTCAGTATAAATTACTTGCTGATGCCTGTAATACGGTAATTTTCAGTTATATTTCCTTTGAGAAAAAAGATGTGAGGTTCTGGCTATTGTATTGGAACTGAATGTCTTATTCATTTACCCGCTCATTTATTTACTCATTTATTTATAAAGTTATTTCAAATTATATTATACTGGGCCTTTCGCTCACGTTTTATTATTTTATATATATATTAAACCCTTCCCAGGAAATTCTAGAAGCAGTGCGGAGTACCTGAGTTAGATTGCTACCATCTTGGGTTTGAGAGGATTGTGTTCATCCTCTTGGATAAATGTAAGAATTCATAAACTCTGATATTTAGATTTCTAGACTGTGGATAATGTGTGTAATATTTTATTTACATGTCATGTATGTACGATAATGAAGATCCTGTGGATAGGTCCTGTAATGCAATTTATTTTAATCAAGTGTGGGGCTCGTTGAGAATTTCTTTTATTATCATGCGTTTAACCCCTATTCGAGCTCCACGTCACCGACCCCTGCTTCGGTGCGTGGCAGTAGCATCAAGCTTGACTGAAATGGGTTAATTTAATGACGGAAGAGTTTGAATCTGATTGAGGATTGATTTTGTTAAGGTAGAAATTGGGAAGCTAGGGCACCAACTTGTGTTGGGTTAGGTTGAAGATTGGGTCTAATTTGAGGAACTGGATGAGGTCCGCAGGGTTATCAGCCATTGTTGATGGATTGAGGGGAGCTCAGTTGCTCTGATACCAAAACAGAAATATAGAGAAGAATATGGAAAAGTGTTGGGGGTGGAAAACCTAGCTCAACATGAGCTAAGGATAAAAGGTATTATTTATACTGTGGATGTTAATACAGAATAATCAGCTATACACGTGGCACAAAACCAGAAATCATGTCCTATATAGTGTACTATACAAGCTACTGTACATAATTTACATTTTGCCTTCTAACAGCTGGGAATCATGGGATGAATTATGGAAAATTAGAAAATTACTAGGTTTTTTAATTAAATAGAGAAATTACTTGGTATTTGAAAATATCATTTTCTATAAATTTATACCTAATTTATATATATAAATATTACGGATAAATATCTAGAAGTAGAAATCATACTTTTAAATATCTCCTATATTATTTTTAATTCTTTTCCTAATTATCTGATGGTATAAAGAAAAGCCAAAATCGTCTTTTTATCACGTTAAAATAATTTTTTTCTTTCTTTTTTTCTAAATTCTCCAATACATCCATCAACTGAAACTGGTTAAATCAAGAGAGAATCGGGTAAATAGTTGTTTTGACCACCTTAATAAGTGGTTGAACTTTTTATTTTTTAAACAAATGGCTGAATTTTTTTTTATTTTAACAAAATGACCGTTTTTTTAGTAGTCAATCAATAATTGATCAATTTATTACTATAATTTACCAATGATTTACCATTAATAAACATGCAATTTGTTAATTGAAATTGATTAATTACTAATTGGTTTCAGTTAATTATAAACTGATATCGATTAATAATGAAAAATTATTGAGTTAATCAGTAATAAATTTAAGTCAATCAGTAATTGACCGTTAAGTCAATTAGTGATTGCTACTAGGTTAATCAGTAAATGACCACTCAATTAATAAAAGAAACGATAATTTTACTAATTTTACAAAACCTCAGCTTTTTTTCAAAAAAAAAATCCTTTAAAAAATGGTTATGTATGTTGTTATCCCTTAAATCAACTCCATTAATAAATAAAAAATAAAAAAAATAGTTAAATCAAGCCTTTTGAGAAAATAAATATAATTCCAGTATTACTTGTATTGTTAAATTTTTATTTTCACTTTTATTTTTTTAAGAGTCAATAAGATTAAAAGTTTTGAAAAAGTAAATATAATTCCAGTATTACTTGTATTTTTTATTTTTTATTTTCAATTTTATTTTTTTTAAAAGTCAGCAAGGTTAAAAGTTTTGAAAAAAATAAATATAATTCTAGTATTACTTGTATTGTTAAATTTTATTTTTTTAAAGAGTCAGCAATGTTAAAAGTTCTGGTATTTTATTTTTGTATATGTATCTTTTTAAGTTACTCAATCAATCTAATATGTAACTATTTACGATATCAAGATGTATGATGTTAACGGTGGTTCATGTGGTCACATTTCTCACGATAGTAATGTGATTGTCCACATATTAATAAACTTTTCGTTTTCATTAGATGAAAATCGCTATTGATTAGAAAAATATCCTATGGAAGTCCCTGTGCCAATATCGCTTTATCTAAATGCAAACCACGTCACCTTAAAAACATAAAAAATTAAAAATAATAACCAACTTGAAGGAATCTCATATTGAAGATTGAGTTATAAAAAATAAAAATAAAAAGATAATTGGCACCGTCAGTCCCTAACTTTAAGTATAGCGACATTTTAGCTCTTAAATTTTAAATTTTGACATATTAGTCTTTGAACTTTTATTTTTTAATAATTTTAATCCCTAGTGGTAAAAATGACGAACAATTTCTAAAATTTTTAAAACTAATCACATGACTATTACATGATAATTTTAAATTTTACAAAAATAGTTGCGTTACATGCAGAATTTTCTCTATATTACTATTAAAACTTGTTGAAAGCCATATAATATTTTTCACTTATTGAAATTATTTATGTAAACTTTTTAATTGTTTTGTGATAAGATTGTGATTATTTATGTTAATTTTTAGAAATTGCTCGTCAATTTTAATGTCAGAGCAGCCGAAAATTGAAAAGGTTAGAACTAATATGTCAAAATTTAAAATTGAAATCAAAATATCACTATGCTTAAAATTTAGGAACTCAGTGTGGCTAACCCAAAAAACGGAGGAAGGGAAGTGAAACACAATACATCCCTGCTAGTCATAGATGGATATCACCCTGCGGGTGTTTAATCAAGTTTTTTTTTTTTTTTTTTTTTTTTTTTTTTTTTTTTTTTTTTTTTTTTTTGTGGTGTAGGAAGGGTCACTATGCTAACGAGAGTTGTCTTGGAGTCTCACTGTTGGAGAATGACCCCAGACAGTGATGCAAATAATCCTTTAGCTGCTGAGTTTTCCAATTGGTAAATGAAGTTGGAGATGGTTCTTACAGTCACATTCCTTACAGTCAGTCACATTCCTTCACACTAAAACAATTTTTTTTTTTTTTTTTTTTTTGAGGATCACAAATTTCATTTCATTTTTATTAACCAATGACAACTTTTGGTTATCCTAGTTGTATTAATGCTTTTGTAAGGTCCGTTATGGCTATTATTGCTTAATAAAATATATTCCACTTTAAAAACAAAAACAATAAAGGAACTTCTTTATTTCTATTAAAAAAAATAAAAATAAAAACTCACTGCTGTGTAAAGCCAAAGAAGTTAAGAAACTGGCATTCTGAAAAAGTACATGTAACTTTTCACATTTGTCACAGTAACGTCCCTTTCTTTTTCCTCCTAGAAATCGACCTTGCTTGTGCTGCTCAATCAACAAAATAACCAAGCAAGAAAAACTATAGATGGCTAAACAAGAGTGTCCTTTAAAAATTGCATCAGTAAAGCATACACAAAAGCCCCAGTTTCTTTTTTGAGAAATATTAAGGACACTCTTT